AACAAGCATAACTTTTTTGTTTGGGTCTATTTTGTCAGGCCCCAATACATAATTATCTGTATCATCAATTGAATTTCTTTCAGGTTTCCTTTTCTTTTCGTGCTTCTTTTTGTTAAAAATTGCGCCTTTTTTTTCTTTTCCCGGTGAATTTTCATTTATTTCAAACTCTTTTACCTTTCCTAAAGCTTTATTGTTGTGACGCTGTAAGCCTGGTGAATGACTGCTAACATACGAAAAATACTCGATGTCTTTTACCACAGAATCGATTGAACTCCAAATAGACGCAAATTCTTGTTCCCACATGTTTTCAAGATGATTTATTCTTTCAGCTAATTTAGCATTCTCGAGATTTGCTATTCTGGAATCATCTTTCGCATTTTCTATTTGTTTCCAAAGATCTGATTCGTACTTTAACTTGTCGATCTCTTTCAGTCCTTTTGGATGAAACGGACTTTCTATGTTACCAAAAGGCGGTGCACTTCTTGAACAAATTAGATGATTTTCTAAACCAATTTCTTTTTGAGGATAATTTGAAAAAGATAAATTTCTGTCGAAGCATTTGTTGCTTTGAAATATTTTTGGGTCTTCTTTAGCGCTTATATTTTCAAGATAGCTACTATCGAGCTTCTTGTTGGCTCGAGTTAAACTTCTTCCCAAGCCAATAATAATATAAAGAATAATATTAAAGTTTGAAACTAGCTTTTTTTCCGAGCTCAGCTGTGTTCTCAGTATGAGCATTATAAGGCCCCCAAAAAAGTTTGACAATATATATATAATATAAGCTTCTGAGCTAGGTAACTCACATACTCGTTTTTCCCAAATGTTTTGTTCTTTCTTTTTTGTCATCTGAGAATTTTTTGGTAAACGTGTAAATAGAGAAACGTCTACATCAGCTCTTTTTAAGACTTTATCAGCTTGAAATTTTGAAGTGTTTTCTTTCAAAATTGAATTTTGGTATTGGCTCCAGGTGCCTTCGCTAATGCCCCATAGTAGCCAACACATGACACTCATAGTCACCATATCTGAAATAAAGACACTGGCTGAAACACCAAAAACAATCCCCACTATGGCAGGTGATAAAGAAATCATGAGAGGAATTAAAGGTACTAAAATTTTATTACTTGTCAACACATCAGTTGAGTATCCCAGATAAAAGCTGCTTGAATTGTCCACTAATGATAGATGGGTTGGTTTAGGCTGTAATTCCGACTTGTAATGATCGTTCTCATTAAATGATATAGGTTGTGGATTTCCAGTCCCATTGGCCTTGTTAGGAAAAAATTCTTTCCCTTTTTCTTTAAAATTACTGTTTGAAATTTTATTATCGGGTGGTTTACCATTTTCTTTTTCTATCAGCAAATGACTGGGCTGTTTTACTTGAGATTGTTTGACACAACTACTACGTTGTGGTCTCAAAATTTTGCCCTTACTTTCAAAATCAGGGATTTTGTGCTTTAAATTAATAACTGACAAGTTCATAGCAAAAACAGTTGTACCTCCAGGAGCCTTTCTTTCGATAATATGAATTTAATACAGTTAAGAGCTTTTGTGTCTTAAAAAATGAAAGATGAAAAGGTTTTTTTTTAACAAATAGATCAAGTTTTAATTGTTGCCAGCCTCTCCCAGCAACCTTAAACCTATTTTTTACTTGATTACTGAACTGTTATTGCATGAAAGATAATTGCTTTATTAATATTCCTTCTCAATTCCACGGTTTTATTGACATGTATAAAAATATTTTACAGTTATCCAATTTTTTACTTTATTTAGCTACAGTTCTTGAGAGTATTAGTAAAAACTGAGCCCGAATGAAACTCATAATATCCCCCTACTGCCACGTGATTATAGTTTACCTAATGCATCATCCCTTGTGATCGAGACTGTGCACAAGCTTCAAATTCAAAAAGGCTTTCCAATTGATAATCATACAAAGGTCTTAGTCTTATTAATTGAAGTAAGTATAAGTACGGTTATGGGTTCTGTATTTAATATTTTACCATTGATTTGCGATTATTTTTTATTTTCCTGGTGGATCATGGTTATCTGATATTTTTGGCGTCTTACTGTTACCCTTCACACTGACCATTTATTTTCTGCTCAATAGGGTTTTATATTTTCATAGCAATTATATTTGCTTCGCGTATTTTTGGATTTTCAGTTTGGCTTATAGTTATTCAACCTTCGACTTATTATGGATAACTTTGCTGGACTATCTTGGGGTAATTCAAGTGGTAACTCGCCTCAAACATCCACATATTCAGCTAATAGCTCTAAGAATGGTAGTCATCAATCGTCGTCACGTTCTACTCCTGTTCCTGACTCTTTCGCTGAATTAGTTTCTTTTGGCCCCAAAAATGAAAGCAAGAAATTTGATAGTATGGCCAGAATGACTTTACAGGAACGGCAGATATATCTACTGTCCACCAAGGCGGAAGAGAAAAAGGTAGCTAATAATCAATGGGGTGATTTTGACCTATTAATGAGTTCAGGCTCTGGATCAACCTCAAACTCAGCTGTTGTATCATCTGTAAATGATATCAATATTGCAAATTCTGATAAGCCAGAAGAAGAGGACCCTTTTGCCATCTTTAATCAGCCACCTCCGAAAAAGGAGCCACCCTTGGTATCTTCAAGTTCTGTCGCTGCTCCCACAAAAAAATTGTCTCATGGTGCTAGCCTCTTAGAGGGATTTGATGATATTTCAGACGCTGAGTCTGAGGTAGAGTCTGACTACAGAAGAGAGGATTTGAATCACCCCATGGCTAGTAACCACGGACACAGTTCCCATATAAGTCCATCCAAAAATGATTTGGATAATTCTAAAGATAAGGCAATCGCTGAGCTAGTAGATATGGGGTTCACAGCTGAACAAGCTGTGGATGCGCTAAATCAAACTAGGGATGGTACCGATATTCAACAAGCTATCGAGTATATGATGAGTCAAGCTCATAAGAACTCAGGTAATCATATAATTACTAATGGTGATTCTTATTTAGATAATGAATTTGCACCTAGATGGAAATCAGGATCCCCTAATGCAAAACAGCCTGATATTACAAAGCTTGCGTCCCAGTTTCAAAAGCAATTTATTTCGAAGGCGAATGTCTTTTGGGATATGGGGAAAAAAAATCTTGTAAAAGCTATTGATACGTATCAAGAGAAGTCCCGAACTAACGATGATGGTACACCAGCGTGGATGAAGAAACAAGATAATGCTGTAAGAGAAGAAGTTAGGCAACGTTTAGCCCAAGAGAGAATTGAGCATGGTGATGAGCGCAAACGACCTCCTTTGGAAGAAAGACTTGCTCATAGAAAAAGTGAAAATCTGTCTTCAGTTAAGTCGTCTAATAGAGAACCAGAACCAAAATCAATTAGTTCCCAGATACCAAGTTCAGCAAGTGGCTTTGTTAAATCTCTCTCTCAGCCTAATCAACGCACTACAACTAAGCAAAACAATTCTCAAAATAACCTTGATCTAATTTCATCTAATCGCAGTTCTTCAGGGTTAGGAACCAGCTCCAATAATGGATTATTCGATAGTCCTGTAACACCTGCGGAATTTCTTACACCTGCGCAGGCTTTCAAAGCTAAGGTTAAACAAGAAGAGGAGATTCCAATTTACATATCACCCTCGAAGCGCCGTCTCCCTGCCCCGCCTAGATCGCAAACCCCGTCCAGGTCGTCCATGCTTCAAACACCTTCACCCCCTACAAAGACCATGACTGCTGCAAGACATCCTGTTTCTATATCCCCCGAAGCCCTAAAGATGGCAACTAAATCTCGAGAAGCAGGTAATGATGCCTTCAAGCTTGGTGATTTCGATGAAGCTCTTAATCATTACACTAAGGCCCTTTCATATATTCCAAATAAGCATTTACTTCGCACTCTTATTCTTTCAAATAGGGCGATGTGTAATCTAAAGGTTGGTGACTCTAAATCGGCTATCGCCGATGCTGAACAGGGCATAATGATTATTGGGACAGGTATGGGAGTAGGTGAGAATGTGGAATCTGGTAAATCGCTTAAGGATATTTGGTTTAAGCTTTTCAGTAGGAAGGCAGAAGCTCTTGAACATCTGGAGAAATTTAAGGAAGCGCTTTCTACCTGGAATATCCTCATTCATAATGGGTTTTCAAATAAGTTAACCCTCGATGGTAAAAGAAGATGTGTCAACGCAGTTAATCGAGAAACTGAAACTTTGTCCTCTAAGACCTCTGATTCATTACCAAGTATTCCACGGGCCTCTTCGCCAATTTCAAACACCAGCTTTAGTAATGCTCGTCCTTCAGCAGCTAGTATAGCGGCTGTCAACAAGATTCGTGAGCAAAGCGCCGAAGCAGAAAAGGTTGATGAAGAGCGATTTTTACTTGTTGATCTAGTTGATGCGCGTCTAAATCAATGGAAGGGTGGGAAAGAAGACAATTTAAGAGCCTTATTGGGCTCTCTCCACAATATTCTTTGGAAAGAAGCCGGATGGAAACAGGTTTCTATGGCCGATTTGATTCTTCCCAAGAAGGTCAAAGTAAATTATATGAAAGCTGTTTCTAAGACCCACCCTGATAAGGTTTCAAACTCGACATCTACAGAGCAAAAAATGATCGCCCAAGGTGTCTTTGTTGCTCTCAATAAAGCCTGGGATGATTTTAAAGCATCAAACAATATTTCATAGTATGCCTAGAAATAATTTTTTATATATTTATATAAGATAAACACAGAGATTTAATAGTTGAATTTTTTGCATTAGCTATGCTTATAATTATGGGTAATAATATAAAAGTTTTTTAGCAAAATTATTTCATTGCCTCATTTCGCAAAAAGTGAGCCCATATCAATACAACATGTAAATAAAAAAAGACAAACGATGAGGCATTACGTAGCCGTATTTAAGAACCCATGTGTTAGCATTGCTCTTATGAGATTTTACTAAATATTATTTTACGTAGTAATGTATTACCATCTAAATTTTGATATAGTGTAACTCTAGTTGAGAGCAAAAAAAGCACCCACGCAGGGGCTCGAACCCTGGACATTTCGATGACCTCAACAGTACCTTTTTTAAAAGTCGAACGCTCTACCAACTGAGCTACGCAGGTTTACCGACCTCGGAGAGGGTTGAACTCTCGATCTTGCGATTAACAGTCGCACGCCTTAACCAACTTGGCCACGAAGTCTTATTTAGGAAAGGGAGAGATGAAGAAGTATATGTTGAGTTTTACATTCAGTCTTTACAGTACTTCGTTTGTTGTTAGGATTTCACGGCTTTTTTTGAGTGGATTTACTTTGATCTACAATATCACAGTTGAAACAATCTTTAATTATATTGATTTTCTATTGCATGACAAACTCATTTTTTACTTTTTTTTTTTTTTAATAACTTTAATAACTTTCTTTTTACCTGAAGGCGATTCCTCATAACCTACAAGATGTTCAAAAAACTAGAAACCTAGAATTTGAGAACTTTTGAAAAAGAAGGCTTTGGTTTTGCGGCTTTGTGTTACAGCAGGCACATATTTTAATCCAAAAGCAATCAAAATTATTATCATTTATCGTGCATCTAATCGAACACGATAACTTCTTTTTAAACAAGGACGAAGAAAATAACTTGAAAAATGATTGTATATATATTATTTTTCACTCTCTTGTGTTTTATGAAATTCATGAATCAAAACTTTAAGACTTAATGATATCTGCATCTAAAAATATTATTAGTAAAAAAATTCTAGATCCTGCCGTTACCATTTTAACCGTGGTTGAAATGACCCAGTCCATACACACTAACAAATAGGTATTTTGATTAATATATAGAAGAATTTATTCGCTTCCTTTCAATGTCAAATAAAGCAACTCGCCTATTTAGTGTCAGATTTCAAAGATGTTTTACAAACTGCCATGCTGATGTAAGAATTATCTTTGAAGATGTATTTGCTTTTAAACCACTTCATTTTCTTCTGGTTTTAATAACCAATCTGGTTATTCTAAAATTTACTCTGATTTTTTAAAATAATATGGAATGTTGTTCTAATATAATCAACACAGATTTCAAAAACCAAGAATTTCTTTAAAAACATTATCATTAATTTTAAGCTTACTATAGATGTTTAATATAAACCTATTCATAGACGATTATCCAAAAAATGAAAAACACAATATATCAGGGTTAAAAAGCTCTGTGTAATTTATTTCAACATGGAAGATTGAGTTGAAGAAATTCAATTGTAAAACATTTATCATCATTAAAATGCTTTTCATTTTTTCCGAAATCGTTAAATAACTATTCAAACTCCAAAAATACCTTCGCGTTAAAATATAAAAGATTAGAACGCGCAGGGTTTTTGGAGGACCAGTTTTATGGTAAAGCATAAAAAACCTCAATGGTAAAATAACCTTTACTGGAGAATGATCCAATAACGAAATGAATGAAAAGCATAATATATCAGGGTTAAAAAGCTCTGTGTAATTTATTTCAACATGGAGGATTGAGTTGAAGAAATTCAATTGTAAAACATTTATCATCATTAAAATGCTATTCATTCATAATTCGGCCAAGAAGTCATTCATCCGGAGAAAAGAAATTTAATCAATGAGATTAGAAAATCAACTATAGAGACACCAACTAAATAAATTTGAATCGGAGGACTCGTGCTCGAGTACCGAAAAGCCGACTCAATTTTATCTGTTGTATCAACAACATGCTTTAGCTATGCTATGATATTAAGATAAAATGTGAGAAGAGGAAAAGATATTGAGATTTATATACAAAAAAGTTTTACACGGCTTAATCAGCAAAACCCTAACCATATTAGGACGCAGAATAATTACCCTACAGAAACGCTTAATAGGATATTGATGGTTATCACAATTGTTGTTTTAAGGAATTACAACTATTGACTGTTATTGAAGAGAGTATACTAAACTTCTCACCATGTCTACGTCTACCGACTCTTCAACGCCAGCAGTTTGTGCTACATGCTTGGGTGAGAATCCTTATATCCGTATGACCCGTGAATCTGCTGCTGAGCAATGCGCTCTATGTACACGGCCTTTTACTATTTTTCGATGGCACAAGGGTGCCAAATCAAACCTGTCATCAGGACTACGATTTGAAAAAACGCGAATTTGTTTAACATGTTCACGAGCCAACAACTGCTGTCAGTGTTGTATGCGAGACTTAACGACAGGTTTGAGTATGTCAATGCGTGATGCTATGTTTAAATTGGTGGGTGAATCTGCACCTGGAACCATCAACAACGAAGGCAAAAGTACAGATATAATGAAGGTATATAACGCACAAGCCTATGAAGCTAAGCTAAATGATGATAAGGGGGGTGATATTGATGCTGAGCAACAACAGCATATGGACAAGATTCATTCTGTTGCTCGGGCTTTGATTCAAAATCAAGGTGCCAAGACACCATATCAAAAACCTGTTTCTCGCGGTATAAAAGGAAAAGATGAAAACAATAGCACAGAAAACCAGCCCTCGAAGGCACTTATGTTTTCAGTAACAAAGCTAGCGTCTTCGCTACCTATTCTTACAGGTCAGATATGGCCTCCACCTGAAGATAATACACTGACCTCATTTTTGGTTATGGGAATTGAAGACGATTTACCTGAGTATAAAATCAAGCAAAAGTTTATCTCATTAACCGAAAACGATACCCCCGGCTCTAGTCGCGCTTCTACTGTTCAAAAAATAATTGTGAACCATGCTAGTAAATGTTGCTTTATTCAATTCCACACAAGGCCTGATGCCGAGAATGTGGCCCGTATCATAGCTAGTATAGGTAAAAACTCTACTGAAAAAGTAAATGAAGGGTGTTTAAATATTGCTGGCTCGAGAGTTGTAGTGCGCTGGAGTTCAATCAAGAGTTTTGGGAGTACCCACGATGAAAATAAACTTTTGGGTAAAATGGTTAGAAAAGCCATAAGAAAGAAGTATACAACTAGCACGCGAAGCTCAAACGACCGAAGCTTGATCAGTAAGACTAGCAATCGGAATAAAAATGGAGAATCTGGTAATGGTACAGTGAACAGCACGGTTTTAGAGGCAGCACCAGGTGCCAGTGCTCATGCTAGGTATAAGAGTACTGTGCACGGCTACGAAGCTTAGTTTGTGAAACCAAATTAGTAGAGTAAAGTACTAGAGATCTCTTTATTACTAAACTTTCATGGAAGATTTCGTTTTTTGTATTTTTATAAAACATTATGTATTTCAATTTAACAGATTACTTGTGATACTATTAAGCCTGGTCCCAACGAGACGGTTCTGTAATGCAAGGGCTCAGCTTTAGATTCCCCGCTATGTCGATATCAAAACTAAAAACAAACTATCATTAAAATGAGTCAAACGACAAACACAACCGATGACTATGGCCAACCAACTGAAGCACGATCCTCAGTTACTGATAGTACTACTGTACCGCATATTTCACAACTATTAAATCAATCAGGTATCTTCGATATAGCTGCCCGTCCTTCAAACCGCGAGTCAGATGGTGGCAATTCGGGATTTTCGTCATCTCATGAAACTATTCGAGAAAGAATGAGGCATTTTTCGGAAAACAGTGGGTTTCTAGATAACGAGAACGCTCAAGCTCAGTTACTGCTCTCTACATTAATGGATAGCCCCTTAATCAGGGAAAACCTCCAGCATATTCAAGCTCAAGATGTCAATCAGAATGAAGACAGAAATGAAAATGGAGTTGATTTATTTAACCTTCTTAATTCTTTTTCTAATGGGCCTTCAAACTCGATAACCTCATCTGCTACTTCAAAAGTTTCGCAGGAGTTTTTGGATAGTTTGCCTCGTGTTTCCAAGTCACAATTGACTGGTCATGACGCATGTCCCATTTGCACAGAGAATTTCCTTGATGATCCTTATCCTTTGGTTGTTCATCTGCCCTGTAATAAACGTCATCGCTTTGATCTTGAATGTATTGGTGGCTGGCTTAAGCTGAAAAGCTGTTGCCCTCTATGCCGTCATGACTTTGACGAGGAAAAACGTCGTCAAGATAGAATCCAAAGGGATCTGGAGGTTAAAAACGCCGACAGTGAAGATGAATGGGATGAAATGTACAGCTGAATCTAACGCTGTTTCTCAAAAGAAAAACTAAAGTGAATTTAAATGACTGAACTTTTAAGATAGGGGAATAAGATTCCTGTCGGGCCAACCCGATGAGTTAGAATATTTTTAATTTTGTTTCTAGGTATATCTGTTAGATAAATGGGGCGTACAGGTGCGATAATACCATGAAGGTTCATAAAAAGGCATCTTCTATTTTGTATTACGGAGTCGGTGAATAATGAGTGGCTATGTGGATATAAGACCCAAAACAATGAATGACAATAGTTTTAACACGAATTTTGAACCTTTCAGTCTATCGATAAAAGCCGAAGACTTGGTAAATCATATTTTGTTTTAGCATAATTCAAATTAGGGAAGTACCGTTTATTTTTCAAAGTAAAACCGGTTTTTAAAGCTATATACAGTAATATCATTCGCCAAAGATAATTGTCATGATGAATGATTACGTCAGCTTAACAGCTAATCTATCATAAATCTTGACCTTATGACGCATTCTTTATCAACCAGCCATTATTGAGATAAAATCGCACTGTTAGTGTAACTAGGAAATATTAAAAATGGCTATTGACGTTGGATCTTGGCTTGCTATTTACGATGAACCTCTCACTCAAGCTCGGTATATTGATAAAGCTGAGTTAAAAGACGATATTGAAGCTGAAAGAGAGGGCTTATTAATATTTGATGTAAGAAATGCTGACTTTTGCGATGGTAATATTAAAGATGCGTTGAATATCACGGCACAATCAATCTACGGGTACTCAGGAATCGGAAAATTAGTGAGCCTCGCTACCAGGCTAAATGCTTCAAAAGTGGTAATTTACTGCAATAGTTCACGAGACCGTGCTATTAGAACAGCGGGCTGGTTCCAAGATTTTATTCAAGAACACAACCTTATCAATCTCGAAGTAGTTATTTTAACGGGTGGTATCAGAGGCTGGATTGCGGGTGGAGAAAAGTATACCAATTTGATGGAGGGATTTAACTATTGAGTGGTTACTTCTTGATGAT